GGTTCCCCTTACTCCACATCCTCTAGAACAAAGGCTATCATCTGTGCTTTTGATTTTAGCCATTCTGACATGTGTGAGATGATATTTCAAAGTTGTTTTGATTTGCATTTCCCTGATCACTAAGGAGGTTGAGCATGACCTTAAGTGTCTTTTGGCCATTTCAACTTCTTCTGTTGAGAATTCTCTGTTCAGTTCAGTGCCCCATTTTTTTAATTGGGTTAATTAACTTTTTAAAGTCTAGTTTCTTGAGTTCTTTATATATTTTGGAGATCAGACCTTTGTCTGTTGCGTGGTTGGTGAAGATCTTCTCCCAATCAGTAGGTTGCCTTTTTGTCTTAATGCCAGTGTCCTTTGCTTTACAGAAGCTTCTCAGTTTCAGGAGGTCCCATTTATTCAATGTTGCCCTTACTGTCTGTGCTACAGGAGTTATACATAGGAAGTAATCTCCTGTGCCCGTATGTTGTAGACTATTTCCCACTTTCTCTTCTATCAGGTTCAATGTGTTCAGATGGATATTGAGGTCTTTGATCCATTTGGACTTGAGTTTTTTGCATGGTGATAGATATGGATCTATTTTCATTCTTCTACATGTTGACAACCAGTTCTGCCAGCACCATTTGTTGAAGACGCTTTTTTCTTCCATTGTATACTTTTAGCTCCTTTGTCAAAAATCAGATGTTCATAAATTTGTGGGATAATATCCGGATCTTCTATTTGATTCCATTGATCTACTTCTCTGTTTTTATGCCAGTACCAAGGTGTTTTCAATACTGTAGCTCTGTAATGGAGTTTGAAGTCAGGGATGTTAATGCCTCCAGAAGTTCTTTTATTATATAGGGTTGTTTTGGCTATCCTGGGTTTTTTGTTTTTCCAAATAAAGTTGATTATTGTTCTCTCAAGGTCTGTGAAGAATTTTGTTGGGATTTCGATGGGGATTGTGTTGAATTTATAGATTATCTTTGGTAGAATTGCCATTTTTACTATGCTGATCCTACCCATCCAAGAGCAAGGGAGATCCTTCCATTTTCTGGTGTCCTCTTCAGTTTCTTTCTTCAATGCCTTAAAGTTCTTGTCAAATAGATCTTTCACTTCCTTGGTTAGAGTTACCCAAGATACTTTATGCTATTTGTGACTATTTTAAAAGGTGAAGTTTCTCTGAATTCCCTCTCTGCTTCTCTATCCTTTGTGTGTAGGAGGGCTACTGATTTTTTTTTAGTTGATCTTGTAGCCTGCCATTTCACTGAAGTTATTTATCAGCTGTCGGAGTTCTTTGGTAGAGGTTTGGGGGTCACTAATGTACACTATCATATCATCTGCAAATAAAGAAAGTTTGACTTTTTCCTTTTAGATTAGAATCCCCTTGATCTCCTGATCATGTCCTACTGCTATTGCTAGAACTTCAAGAACTATGTTAAAGAGATATGGTGAGAGTGGACAGCATTGTCGTGTTCCTGAATTTAGTGGAATGGATTTGTGTTTCTCTCCATTTAACTTGATATTAGCTGTTGGCTTGCTGTATATTGCTTTATTATATTTAGGTATGATCCTTGTATCCCTAACCTCTCTAAAACCTTTACCATAAATGGGTGTTGAATTTTGTCAAATGCTTTTTCTGCATCCAATGAAATGATCATATGTTTTTTTTTTCAGTTTATTTATATGATGGATTACATTGATAGATTTTCATATGTTGAACCAGCCCTGCATCTCTGGGATAAAGCCTACTTCATCGTAATGGATATTTGTTTAATGTGTTCTTGGATTCTGTTTGCCAGAATTTTATTGAGAATTTTTGCATCTATGTTCATGAGTGAGATTGGTCTGTAATTCTCTTTCTTGGTTGGGTCTTTGTGTGGTTTTGGAACCAGGGTGACTGTAGCTTCGTAAAAAGAGTTTGGCAATGACTCTTCTGTTTCTGTTATGTGAAACATATTAAGGAGTATAGGTATCAGGTCTTCTTGGAAATTAAATCGTCAATCAGGTCCTGGGCTTTTTTTTTTTTTTTGGTTGCGAGGGCCCAGCCCATTGTAACTGGTAACATCTCTGGGCTGGTGGTCCTCATTTCTATAAGAAAGCAGGCTGAGCAAGCCATGATTAGCAAGCTAGTAAGCAGCACCCCTCCATGGCCTATGCACCAGCTCCTGCCTCCAGGATCCTATTCTGCTTGAGTTCCTGCCCTAGCTTCATCCAGTGCTATGGAAGTGCACCAAATAAACATATTCCTCCCAGAGATAATTTGGTCATAATGTTTCACTGAAGCAATAGAAACCCCAACTAAGACAGTTGCCCTAAGTTTCCCTCCGCACTTCTGAACAAAGCTTTACAAATGCAAACCATTGACTGTTCTCATGTTTTCAGACAAGATCTCACTGTACAGCACAAACTGGCCTTCAGTTTCATAGTTTGCATTTGCTACCCTCTAGTGCCAGGATTTATTATTGTGAGCCTCCAATCCAGGCAAGGTTATGTGGTTCTTTGTTTTTTCTTTATGAAGTGTGTTGTGTGCTGATCCTGGACCACAAATAAGGATCCAGTGAGGACTTGTGGCAGGCCACACGGAGACACTTGAGAAAACCTCTGACTGTAAGAAAATGATTGCATACCAACTTAATTTAATCTAGCAATTCAATACTGTGAACCCGAGAAAAATTTTTTTTGCTCTTTTCCTAATGCAATTTGTGTATAGTTCTGTCTGTACAAGGGTGAGCATATTTATGTGTACACAGTAGCACTTATACATGTAGGCATTCTTGTACATGTTTGTGCATGTAAAACCTAGAGGGCAACCTTGAGTTTAGTTACATAGGACCTAACAACATGTTTCTTTGAAACAAATCTCTTTTGGGGACTGAATTTTACCCATTAGGTCAGGTTGTCTTGCCAGTGAGTCCCAGGGATTCCCCTATTTTTTTCTATCCTTGACACTAGGGTTATAAGTATAAACCCTTATGGCTCAAAGAGTTTTAAAATGGACTATTTATTTAATTTGTTCAAGGATTATGTGACCTGCCACAGTGAATATGGGAGATCAAAGAACAACTTGTTTGTTTGTCCTCTCCATTCATGATGTTGGTTCCAGGGATCCACTATAAGTCATCAAGTATGACGCCAAGTACCTTTAACCACTGAGCAATCTCACTGGCTATAACATAGGGGCGTTGAAGTTTTTCTGGGGATCCAGTTCAGGCCCTAAAGCTTGCCCAGTAAGCACTTTATCTATAGAGATATCTCTCCAGCAGTCCTAATAGAGTGTCTAAAAAACAGAAATATTTTCCCTTTACTTTTCACATGTTATGAGAGTTATAACATTGTATGTTATAATGTTGTTTGCCAAACAGAGACTCAATGAGCCATTTTTAAAGAGAATTAAAGAAATGTTACCATTAAAATCATATATATTTTTACACAGTAAATTTGATATATTTTTCCTTCATTCTCATGGTATATTTCTAATTTGAGAGCATAGATTTTCTTTATTAAAAATATTCCTTTTACGTTTATATTTAAACATTTTTATAACCATTACATTTATATTTAAACATTTATATATAAACATAATTGATGGACTAATTCATTTATTTTTTTCTTTTCTTTTTTGTAGACATCTGACTATGTAGCTAAGACTCATCTGAGACAAAATGGGTAGCCCACACTGGCTTCAAAGTGCAGGCTACCTGCCTAACATTTCTGAGTGCTGAGATTGTACATATAAATCATAATACCAGATTCATTTGTAAACTTTTATAAAATTTATTTTGGATTGATATTTCTTCCAAGTCATTTATTTTAATTTATGACATTATAAAAATAATTGCATGATTTTCCAGTTCCCTTTTTTCCCTGCAAAACCTCCCATATACCTCTCTTTGCTCTTTTCAAAAATATACCTTTTTTTTCCTCATGAATAGTTGTTTGGACATGGGTGAATGTTTGTGTGAATATATACATACAAGTGTATCTCTCTGCGTGTCACACACACATACACATACATGGGGACTTCTTTGTTCATGTCTCATTTAAGGCAGTCAGCTTGGTGAGACCTTATGGGTTTAGCTTGTTACATTACAGGGAGATAAAATCTCACAGCGAACTCTCCATTTCTCTGGCTCTTAAAGTCTTTCATACCTTCCATAATTTTCCTTAAAATTTAGATGTGAGAGTAGGTTTGTTGATGTATCCATTGGGACAGGGATCCTGGCTTAGCCAAGGTTTCTATTGCTGCAACAAAACACCATAAGCGAAAGCAAGTTAAGGGGGAAAGTGTTCACTTAGCTGACACTTCCATATTGCTGTTCATCATTGAAAGAAGTCAGGATAGGAACTCAAACGTGGCAGGTACCTGCAGGCAGGAGTTGATGCCACAGCATTTGGATAGGTGCTGCTTACAGGCTTGCTTTCAATGGCCTACTCAGTGTAATTTCTTATAGAACCAGGATCACCACTGGCCCAGGGGTGGGTTTGGTGTTCTCCCATCAATCACTTATTAAGAAAATGCCTTATACCTGGGTCTTCTGGATGCATTTTTTTCCAACTGAGTTCCTTCCTTTTCAGATAACTCTACCTTGAGTCAAGTTGACATTAGCCTAGCAAGGTCAGATTCAAGACTATATACATTTTCTTTGGTTGTGTGTTTTTTTTTTTTTTTTGGGGTCTACGTCTGTTAAAAGGATTTTTCCGCATGAGATCTGAGGACTACAATTATCCAGGGGAAAAATAAACAATTGGGAAAAGTATAGATTACTTTGGTTAGAAAATAAAGTAGTTGTGGTTTCTTCTTTACAACCCATGGCTGCATTGGACCTGGGTAGCTGGCTGGGTTTCCAGTACCAGTCATAATTTCTCTCTTGTTGATGAGGTATTTAATCCAATTGGCAAGCTGTTGGTTACTGTCAAGGTATGAGTACTTAAACTGTACCTTAAGATTACCATGCCTTGCCCTCTTTCCTTTCTGCCACCGACATGCCATCAGACTGAGGAAGACCCCGAAACTCCGGGGCCACATGAGCCACGGCAATCATCACAGGATCAACTTTGACAAATATCATCCAGGTTACTTAGGGAAAGTTGGGATGAGGCATTACCACTTGAAGAGAAACCAGAGCTTCTGCCCGACTGTCAACCTGGATAAACTGTGGACGCTGTTCAGTGAGCAGACCGGGGTCAACGCTGCCAAGAACAAGACCGGAGTTGCTCCCATCATTGGTGTCGTGCGATCGGGCTACTACAAAGTTCTGGGAAAGGGAAAGCTCCCTAAGCAGCCTGTCATCGTGAAAGCCAAATTTTTCAGCAGAAGAGCTGAAGAGAAGATAAAGGGTGTTGTAGGTGCCTGTGTTCTGGTGGCTTGAAGCCACTCAGGGAGGCCAATTAAATGCTAACACTTTCCAAGTCGAAAAAAAAATTACCATGCATTGATGGTTGGCATGTTTTAGAGGATAAGACTGTTGGTTGTATCCCTCCACTGGAAGCTTGCATGTCCTTTTGGTACCATAAAAGTTTAAATTCATGACACACACACACACACACACACACACACACACAGAGCAAGAGAGAGAGCAAGAGAGAGAGAGCGAGAGCGAGCGAGAGAGAGAGAGAGAGAGAGAGAGAGAGAGAGAGAGAGAGAGGAGTGTTTTTGTGTAGATAGTTAATAGGGATTTCTCATATATTTTCGAAAAATCCTTACTACTCTTTACCTTCCTTTTTTATATTTATTCCGCCCCTCCCCAGTAATTAGAGACTCCTTTTTCCATTTCCCTGATCAGATTACTTATATCCTGATACTCCACACTCCATAGCTCCCCCATCACCCAACTCTGGCAACGGTAGCTTTTTACTTCCTTGGTGTCTTCCATTAATTAATATGACTACAAAATAAAAAAATATAGCCCTTGACTTTTTCAAACTTATGTTGATGCTGTTGTAGGCTAGTGTGGCTTCAAATTCTGATCTTCCTTACTGGTATTTCAAGTTTGGCCCACCATACCTATGCAAGTTGTGCTTTAGTAGGTCTTCTAAATGTTTCTGATTTATAGTATACACTATGAAGTTTGGGCCATACTTGCATCTGTGATCTCTTCAAATACTTTTGGCAATTTTCCAGCACACAGCATTGCTAGATATTGCAGATTGTACTGGTAATACTAGTTACTTGACTGAGAAAGATTCTTACCGTCTTCAACTGCTTCTACTGCCTCAAGATTTTATACGAGATTATTTCCTTCTTGGTCTACAAGTATTCTCTGCAATTCTATATTTACACAGCCATTAGCTTAGGTACTTGCACAATAGAGAGATGGTGGAATGATCAAGGGCTCTTGGTGCTCTTTAGGAGTATTAGAGTTTCATTCTTAGCACTCGGATCAGAATGCTCACACCTGCTTCCAACTGTACTGGAGTTCAGCAGCCCTCTTCTGGCCTCTTTGAGCCAGACATATGTCCTAAACATGCATTCAGACACAAACACAAAAACTTAGAAAAAATACTAATAAATATTATAGGCATTAAATGTTTATTTTCTTTAAAATATTGTAGTGACATTTCACTTTTATTTATTTTATTTTTATTATTATTTTTATTGAGCTCTACATTTTTCTCTGCTCCCCTCTCTACCTCTCGACTCCCCTTCAACCTTCTCCCAAAGACCCCATGGTCCCAATTTATTCAGAAGATCTTGTCTTTTTCTATTTCCCGTGTAGATTAGGTCTATATATGTGTCTCTTAGGGACTTCATTGTTGTCTATGTTCTCCGGGATTGTGGTTTGTGGGCTGGTTTTCTTGGCCTTATGTTTAAAACCACTTATGAGTAAGTACATGTGATAATTTTCTTTCTGGGTTACCACACTCAAATGATGTTTTGGTGTAGGACAATTCTATATTCTGTCAATAATATTTAAATAAATGCTGATTTGCCATTAGCCAGGAAGGATGTATAAATGGGACAACCAGACAGGAAGTAGAGGCGGGGCAAGGAGAATAGAATAATTCTGGGAAGCAGGAAGCTTCCTCAGGAGTCCTGCCCAGATCACAGAAGAAGCAAGATGTGATGTGCCTCACAGAAAAAGGTACTGAGCCATGTGTCTAAGGTAGAAAAGAATAATGGGTTAATATAAGTGATAAGAGCAAATAAGAAGCCTGAGTTAATTGGTCAATCAGCTTATAATTAATATAAACCTCTGTGTGAATGTCTTTGGGGTTACCTGCTGTGGGAACTGAGCAGGACAGAAACTCCAACAAGCAGGACCACTTGGCTCACATGTAAATGAAGCAGGCCCTCATGTTACAATGTTTTCCATTTTCCTGAAAAATTCAAGATGTCGTTATTTTTCTCTGCTGTGTAGTACTTCATTATGTAAATGTATCACATTTTCCTTATCCATTCTTTGGTTGAGGAGCATTTAGGTTGTTTCCAGGTTCTGGCTATAACAAACAATACTGTTATTATAAACATAGTTGAGCACACGTCCTTGAGGCACGATTGAGCATCCTTTGGATATATATCCAAAAGTGGTATTACTGGGTTGTTGCAGAAGGTTGTTTCCTAATTTTCTAAGAAATTGCCATACTGACATCCAAAGGGGCTGTACCAACTTATGTTTCCATCAGCAACGCAGGAATGTTCCATTTACCCTACAATTTCTCCAGCATAAGTTGTCATCAGTGTTTTTGATCTTGGCCATTCTTACATATGTACTCACTCCATATATAGCTAGGGTTCTTAAACTGGAGGATGAACAGAAAGAGTGCTGGTTATTTGGAAGAGAGGCAAGATAGGAGAGTAGATTAGCTACATGCTATTCGGCCTCTGTGACTAAGTAGAATTTCACCTTGACCTTTGACTTTGGAATGCCTTCTATAAGGGGATGGAGATCTAGATAAAGTTCTCTTTAGCAGTGGTTGTAGAGACCTATTAGAATTCACGCCAGGCTACAGCCAGTGCAGCAGAACCTCTAATGATAGGTGAAAATTTGCAATTGTTGCTTAGAACAGCAGTTGATTAAGGGGCAGCTACTGAAGTTAATGAAAAACAACAGATGTGTATATATAATGTCCTGGTACAAAACACTCACGCAAAAAAACCACACACAGAATTAAAGTGGTGCACACCTTTAATCCCAGCACTCAGGAGGCAGAGGCAGGCAGATTTTTGTGAGTTCAAGGCCAACCTGGTCTATAAGAGCTAGTTCCAGGACAGCTAGAACTGTTACACAGAAAAACCCTGTCTTGAAAAACAAAACAAAACAAACAAACAAACAAAAAACCCAAATCAAAATAAATAAATAGCAGGCACAAACAAACCGTCTGTAACTCTGGATTCCAGGGATAGGAAACTTCTTCTCAAGTGAAAAGAACCACACCAGGAAGACATTTGATTTATAGCCATACTTGGCGGCAAAGCAATACCCATAATATATGTTAAAAGTTAAAAATTAAAATGAAAATGAAGTTTATTAGAAATTAGAACCAAATATTAATTATTACAACATTTCCTAATATATACAAGGGATAGACCTTTAGGAAGCTGGTAAAAAGTCATGGTGACACATTAGTGTAATCAGGCTGAGTTATGAAAATTAGGAGTCCAAGTAAATCCTCAGCTACAGCAATGAGTTCAAAGCCAGAAAGAAATACAACAAAAATAAAGTAAATTATGTATTTCAAAGGTACAGTTTTCTCTATTT